TACTTAACATAAATAACAGTAACAAACACAATGGGCAGAAACAGGTTTAGGAAAATAATACAATTAATTCTAGAACTATATAACAACTACTGAAGCAGATACTAAAAACTGGCTTACTAGCATGAGCTTCCCACTGTATACAGCACCTCTACACTAGTAAACAGTCGCAGGAGTGGTTAGAAGCAACAAGTTCTGCATTCCAACAGACCTAAGTTTAAATCCTGGCTCTGCCACTTATTTCACAAACCATCAATTCCTCATCTACAAAATAGAGACAATAACGACACTTGGGATGAATATTTTATCAGTACTAAATATGAAAAAGGAAAATGACTAGTACAGTGCTTGACACATAGTAAAGGCCAAACAATTTCAAACATTATCATAACCATCATCACTATCACCATCCTCATGATTCAGTTTTTAAAAGCTAAAAAATAAAACTCTAGTGAGGAAACCTTATTAAAATCTAATTGAGAATTACTGTACAGCCAGTGCTGCTTTAGCTAACAGTGCCTAGCTTCCATTGCCACTCCTATAAATGTCAATACTTTCTATTCCTGCAGGGATATAAGAAGTGAGCCACTCACAGCATGAACATCTCTGACGCTCTTTCGTTTGTGTACTCTGTGCTCTTAACTGGCATATTATCCTACAATCCTGCCTTTTAACTGCCTGTTATTTTAAACTCCTAGAGAACAAATAAATTTCAAAAGCTCTTGGCATAGCAAGTAACACAGCACCTCATGCAGATAAACATTAAATAATACTTCATTCTTGTCTTATTATCTAGGAGTAAAGAGTTTGACTTTTCTAAGTAACTGGTGAAATTTAGAACATCAAGTAAAAAGAGAAAAATCCTAAAAATATCTAAAAGCACACTTTATGATGAAATGAGAAAGAGAATAGCGTCTGACACTGTCCTACAAAATAAGAGGCTAGAAAACAACTGAGCAATGTCTTCCATTTTCTTCCAAAAAAATAATTTTTTTCAATCATGTGTGTGGACAAAATTAAGGTCATTTCAAAATCTAAAAATTTATCTCCCATGTATCCCATATAAAAAAAAATTCTCAGAGGTAACTGTAACAAAACAAGACAAAATAATATACAAAAAAGAATATTATAAAAAATGATTAATAGCTGAGTAGGACCTAAAAAAAGTGAAAAAGTGTTCAACAGAAAAAAAGACAGTAATAGATTTTTATTTTTATTTAGAGACAAAGGATTACTTTTCCTTTTTTATATGTCTAGTCACTCAGTGCTGCACATAGGCTATAGCAGGGACACCTACACATCACTTCGTTTGGGTAAATTCGGCGTAGTACTCAGTGTGCGGCAAATTCAAATTTTGCTTTTTGGAACTTTCTGGGATTTAAAAAAAAAATATTTTCAATCTGTGGTTGGTTGAATCCACAGATGAAGAACCCAAGGATAATGAGGGCCGACTGACTATACATCTGTCTCTGTTAAAGTATAGTACTCAACAAAGGATTTCTAATGGTATGCAAACTTTTCAGTGCAGAATCCAGAATACTCTCAGGTTCACTCAAATGAAATTTAAAAAAATGAAGAAGTTCTGACTTTTAAGAATAACTTTTCTTGAAACTAATTTAGATAAATTTCAAAAAAGAAATTATATGCTTCATTCAGATGTACCTGAACATAAACACACTCAGACTCTTATTCCCAGCAAATCCCAACTATATGACTTTCTGTCAGTCAACCCAAAAAAATATTAAGTAATATAAAAATGTCAGTTATAAAAGTGAAGAAAACTGGTGTAACAGTATCTTTTATTAAACATGCTGAAACAAAATAAATAAATAAATATGCTGAAACACAGCACATCTCAAGGAAGCTACAAGGTACTGAAGAGAATACATTTCATGATTCTCTAGTCATCAACAGGAATGAAAATAAATATAAATGTTAAAAAAATGAGAAGGTAAATTCAGTTGGAAATTAATTACTATTCCCATGATTACCAGAGTGTCAAATGATTTTTCACTCTGATTCACTCAGGTCCAAGCAAAGACTAAATCTTGCCTTTGGCTAAATTCCACAGCTCCAGGTAGATTAAAGGAATAAAGTGTTGATGAACCATGCCTGAACAGGCCCACCAAAAAACCTTAAGAACAGGTTCAACATCATATTTAGAAGACCATCACCAAAAAAGGAGAAAAAGAAAACTAAATGTGTAGAATAAAAAAGTACATCTAATTAATAAAGGCAAAAATAAAAAGAAGTTGTAATAAAATTCCTGTCATTTTCATGGGTTCAACCTGTCAACATATCAAATTACTCTACCTATATATCCCATGTCACATTATCTACAAGAAGTGAACAGACGTCTCGTGTTCTCCCAACTAGAAACAAAAGGGTTAAATAAGAGGTGAAGGGGAAAGTGGACTGGGTTAGGCAGGATGAAAGGTGGCCAGTAAGGCAACAGTGCTGGCATGTGGGGGAGGAGACTTGCTGGTGGAGGGGTGTCATCTCCACCAAACAATTCCAACTAGTACCTCTGCCCCTGAGCCACCCTGACTAAGTTAAAAACACAGCTCTATATATGCACAACCCAAGGACATGGACAATGGTGGGGAGAGGCAGTGGGGAGGGGGATGGGACGGGGTGGAACTGGTCATTGGCGAGAAAAAGGGAAATCTGTAATATTTTTAAAAATAAAAAAATAAAATAAAATAAAAAAATAAAAACACAGCTCCAACAGTTTTCCCAGGAAGCCAATTACAATGAATTCCTTGGCCATCAATGCATTTGTGCATGTATTTTCACCTATTTTCAGAGAATAAGACAAACTATTCTCATTTTTATTACTTGGATGACTCATATGTGTAAACACAGCATAGTTCTTACATATTGCATTATCTAAAATAAAACAGTTATTAATTTAAATCATCATTACAGATCTTCTCAGTTTCAAAACTTGACCAGGTCAGATAACTGTAGTCACACCTCCTCCACATATCCCTACATACATTAATTAAAAAGTACTTAGAAGCTCCCTCATGTTAACTTTAAAAAGCCCCAATGAGAACTTCTTTCAAGACATTTTTTATAGTTAACTTTCGTCCAGTAAGATATTTACTTCAGCACAGCTAAAATAAAATTTCTATTTAATGGAAAAAATAAAGTGTCAACACCTGTCACCTACTCCCCCAATTTCCTGCCACCAAATTTCCACATCCAGCCCCTCCTACTACAATCCCTGCAAAGCCTTGGTACATTATGTTCCCTAGTTTATTTTCAACCTCTCACTCTTCCCCATTGATTTTCAATTATTCAGGTTTCTCCCTCTCAGCTGCATGTCATCCTCTTCATAAAATTTCCTCACACTACACTTACACATCAACCAAATCAGTCCCAGCAAGGTCAGCTCTGACTTCCTTGCTGCTATAAAGCCAACAGATAGATATTTCAGTCCTCACTTTGCTTGGCATCTCTGCAACAAAGACTTCATCATGACATCTGTAATCTCATATCCACAACCCCACAGATCTTGGCTTGCTAAGTCCTTCTGGTCCTCCTTCAGGTCCTCCTTTGTCTTGACCCCTAAGGAAAGTGAGATCCCAATACGTCCACCGGATGCTCAACTTCCTTCGCCCTTAGGCCTCATTCCACCTGTGCCTTCTTCAATTCAAGTCCTTCTTGATACATTATATTCTCTAGAGATAATATTGGTTACATTAGGTATGGCTGATCACGACATAGCCAATTCCAAAGCAGAGCACCTGGCATATAATAAACACTCAATAGATACAGAACTGCCTGAATTATATTCACTCACTCATAAATAAGCTGTTCTCACTGTAAAGAATTTATCACCACAAATGAACTAAATGTGTGCTGCCCTTTTCCAGGACCCAGGCCTTTTTAAAATTTTCAAATGAATAAAACCAAAATATCACTGGTACTACCCAATGATGTATTTCCTAATCCAATAAGAAGTGTATTGCTTCAATATGCATGATCCTAAAGAAAAATATCATAAATATTTGAAGAGCATCTCTAGGGGGAATTATCCAGCCCTTAGCCTACACTCAGCAGAGACCTATGATGTCAGAGTATATTAAAAGAAAAATTTAATTCAAAGGTGTATTAATATTTTGGTCTACCATAATCTTTTTATTTTTCAAATACTTGCAATCAACATCTACAACATCAGTGAGTCGTGCTCACTGAACTGCCAGAATTTCAATAGAGGAGAGACTAAGGGGCTATATTCTACGATAGGTATGAATTTAATTTGAAACTGGGTTTGCTTGGCAAGAACACTACTTAGAGTGTTATGTTTATTTGTGATGGTTTTGGAGGAATGATGGGAATTACACCTGAGGATTAGAGCCTCCCCAAGGTACTGTCCTCAGTGATACAAAACCTTTCTTAAAAGTCAACCAAAAATCCATAAAGTTAAAACTAATAGTAAAGGATGTAGCAGGCATTTTTACATTGCATATTTTATAAATAACTAAACAAAAGATGTAACACATTAAATAGTCACTTAAATATTATAATCATGACTATTACATAAAGTGAGCTCCTACTTAAATTTTCCAAAAAATTTTTTATCAGGATGAGCCAAACACTAGAAACATCTGGATCTGAAAAACAAAGTACAATAACACTCTCAATATTTATAAGCTGGGCAAAGTTAAGGAGGAAGAATTCCCAAGAGATGCAATGGAGACTTGAACAGGTATATGTATTCTTCTCTACTCCTCTATAAAAATAAAATCAACCAGATTAGGAAGAATGAGTTTCGGTGAGGTGAAAAGAAAGGGTAGGATTAAAAAGTATCTGATCTTTCACACCTTAAGAATTATTATTTATAACTTTATTGTACTGCCCATTTATGAACAGGAATGCTAAAAGAACAGAGCACTTAATATTTATTTCTCATGTTTATTAACATTGTTTGGAACACAATTCCCACATTAAAAACAGGCAACAGAGTCAGCTTTAAAATTTTTGTATTACCTTACCTTATGCAACTGTAATGTTTAAAAGTGCTGGCAGCTTTCTGACATTCCAGGCACAACTGAATAGCTCCTGGATAGTCTTCCTCCTTAAGATAACAACAAGAGAAGTCATTAGACTAGAAACATTTTTCTTAATGCACCTGAAGAAAAAAAATCTTTGTTCATACTCTATCCAAAAGTTACAGAACCAGAAAAGTTAAATTTCTTTTATATAAGGATTAGAATACCAACAACAGATAAATAATAAAATAGGAAGAGGCAACTAAGCCCAGACCTAAAACATATGCATAGAAAAAATACTCTATTCCCTCAAAGACACAGTCACAGCTCTCTGTGATCATGCCATGCGGATAAAGCCTATCTATATAGGATTATAAGCTGCTTCACAGGGAAGGTGCTCTTTAACTATTAACATTCCTTCTTTCAGTAATGTCTATATAAAATGTTCCAAAACAATATGCATTCTACTTGTAATCAACATTCAACAGTTCTACCACAACATTCAACAGTTCTACCACCAAGAAATCAACAAATATTTTTAAAAACATAAATTTGGAAAAAAGTAAAATATTCATTAATAGCCTTAGAATATTTTTATCACCTAAACAGTAATTTAATGCCAAAAGAATTTTTCATATGGATGTCTCAAACCCCAGTTTTGGAAGTAATACAGTGATTACACAGAAAAAACTAATTTATTTTTCCTTAAGCTAAGTTCAACAATGCAATTCAAACCACTGTGGATGCTGGGATGATAACAAAGTACATACTCGAAGGAGCTCAAGTGGTAACACATATAACATTAGGCTTCTGAGAACCTTATAAGAAACTATCAAAGAGAAAACATAGGGCTCACTCAGAAAACCAAATAATATATGAGACACCAAACATAACTAATATGTGAAATATACCTTAAATCACTACTATACCTTAGATGAAAAGGATAATTTTATTGCTATTTGAGTACAAATACAATCAAAAGATACTGAAGCTAACATTCCCACATTGCCACATTGCCACAAACTAAACAGTTCTCCAAATAAATTTTTCTAAATGAAATACATTATGTTAATAGAAAAATGCTCTGGAGCATGTTCCTTCACATGTCTAAAAGGCTCTTTTTACCATATACCGGTGAGAAAAATGCTCATCTGAATTTTTCACTATAATTTTTTATTTAATATTATCAAGATCACCAAATTTCCAAGCCTTGTTAACTTACCTCTAGCATTTCACTTAAGCGCACATCTGTTCTTTGCTGAAAAAACAAGAATCAAAGGTGAAACATGTTTCAAGCATAAAATTAAGTTTTAATTTTTAAAAAGTAACATGTATATACCAATGTTTTTATTGTTCTCAGAGATTTCAGAAGTCCAATCAGCAACTGACGTTTCCTTTGATTTGCAAGAAGGCCTAAACTAGCTTGAGTAAAACCTTCCTTTGCGATATTCAAGTGTCTGCAAAAGTGAACAATAAATAAAATTTTTTCTAGTATAAAAAGAATACTATCCACACAGAGCAATAGGCAATTACTAAGGCAGTATCCTCGATTACTCTTAAAACTCGGAATCTATCACAAATTATGTGACAGATTTATTCAACGGCTCAATTTAAGCCAGCATTACTCAAAGTGTAGTGGGTGGACTAGTGCCAATCCTCAAACTGTTACTGGTCCATCAGAAGAAAAGTACAGAAATTGAGAATAAGCATTTCAAAACATTTAGAGCAAAAGTTGACTTAATAATTTTATGTTTCATGAATGAATAATAAGAAATTGGAACTGTATTTTGTATGTCTTTGTTTTGTTTTTTTTCCCATTTCCCTGGTACTTTATTTTGATCACATTTTATAAAAATAACAATCTGTAACAAGTTAAAAATTTAAAAAGAAAAAAAAACTGGTCCTTCACCATAGGTAGTTTGAGAAGCATTAATCTAAGCAATATAAAAACAGTAATTAATGTTTTTAAGCCATAACCAGATATACAGACATTTTTCCCACATACCTTCTTAGTGTAGTCTTTAGATCATAAATATGTTGTTACTAAATGGTGTTCTAGAAATCACAGTCATGATAAAAAAAATCAATTATCAATGATAGTTCCACTTTTTCCTGAAATGTTTTCCAGTTCAAAGAACAAAAGATCGTCAAATACAATACCTCCTCCCATTGGTGCAGATAACAGCAGCTAACTGAAGACCTGTCTGTAACGAAGTAACTCTTTCAAGTTCCTATGGAAATAGTAGGTATAGGTTATTGTTTCAGGCATTTTATTTTTCTTTCCTATTCATATGGTACTCTAACAAAAACTTTAGTGGGTTTCAAAGAAAAGCCTACTTGGAAAACAAAGTAGCAAAAAAATGCCTGAACCTGAAAACTGTTGGTATATTTTTCAACAAAATTATTTAAAATAACAATCTTCAATTGATTTTCACAACAACATATGACAACATATTTAGTTAGTATTGCTTGTAAGGAAATCTAGACCCAACCTGCTTTATACAGGCATAAACAAAGACTTATATATCCATTTAAAAGTTTCTACCCAACAGAATTTCACAAGGTAATAAAGGATATGACAAATACAATTTCTGTTTGCTAAGATGTTTTGACAATGAATATCTTCATTTCAACACTAGTAGATATTTCAATGGATTATGAAGTCTCTGATTTTCTAATGAAAAGACAGATTCTGCCACACAATCCCAATTTTATTATATTTTAAAGACAGACTGTTACACTGCCATTGAGCATTCATTATTAATAATCTACACAAAGAACATAAAAGCAATTTTCACTGGCTATTCCACAGTTTGGAAAACCAAAGAGATTACTTCAGTTATAAAAACTCATTTCTTCAGTTTGGCAAATCCCCCCAAATGAAAGAGAAACACATAACACACACACACACACACACACACAAACATACCCCCCAAAAGAGTCAATATGTTGCTATAGAACTATAGACAAAAGATTAAATTAAAACACTTCAACAGTTTCGGGGTAAGTCACTCAAACATTTTAAAAATTTCACTACTGAAAATAACAATTATTATTTTACCTTTACATAAGCAGGTTGCTTCTCAAGGATTAAATCTGCTACTTTTTTAGAGACCTATAAGAACATGTAATCAAACAAAGTAAGAAAAAAACCCTCATACTTCCTGTTACATTTTATATTTAAAATTTTTCCAAGAATATTTCATAAGCCTTCCCTAAAAATTCTATTCTATGGTCACACATATTTCTCTGGGCTATAAAATTAGTAAAAGAGGTATAGCCCAGAGCAAAGTGCTTGGTTCTTAACAACACTCAACAAATGGTCATTATGACTATTTATAACATGAGTATCATTATCTGAATTAACTAACATGCACAAAAGTTTAATCATCTTTAAGGGTTCAGGATGTGCATTACAAGATAAACTTGTTAAGATCAATAAGTGTTTAATCAATTGAATTTATGAAAACAATATCTGGGAAACAGGGAATGTCCTTGTACCCTTTAGGTCCTTTTGTACCACTATGAAGTGAAACAGTAATTTGCTCCTCTCCTGAAAAATTGAGAACATGTGTTTTTTGGAGTGCTATGAAGATACCTCAGGTTTTCTTAGCGAATTCCATGAATAATGTTAATAATGTAGGCAAGTTAGAATTACAATGATTTTGAACATGAGGACCTTATTTCACAATTTTAGGGGCCTCTGTGAGGCTACACTATGAGATACCAAGTCTGGCACAAAGCACGACAGCGAATGCTTGCTCAAGAAACACAATGCGTTCCCCTTCCCCAGGCCACCTGAGAACAAAACATTACACACACACTTACGCACTGCACTGATCCTTTCATGCTTTCTTAATCTCCTTTGAATTTGTACATAGATGTATATATGTGTATAGATACGAATTTGTACAGATGTACCCAGGCAAAAACCCACCTAATTTTACCAAAGTGGGTTTGTTAAAAAAAAAAAGACACTGTAGTTATTGTTAGTCTGCACTGTGCCAGGCAGTGTGCTAAGTGCTTTTCCTACATTATCTCAATTAGCACTCATGACAATCTACAGAAACGGGTTACATGCTTCCTCATTTTCCAGAGGAGTAATCTTAAACATAGCAGTAACTGGCCCACAGTCCCATGGTTAGTCGCCGTAAGGCCAGGATTCATGCCCTGGTTAATCAAATTCCAAACATTACTCTGTGATAGGGCTGATTCCCAAAACACCATTACCACATAAAGTACACAGGTGGAAGAAAACATACTTAAACATGCTGAAACCAAGAGAAGGCAAAAAAATGCCACCATCCACTGGAATCCAGTTTTCCAAAAGCACAACATATCTTTACTACACAAGCCTCTAGTGCTCAAGTTCTTCCCCACAGCACGCCTGCTGCCCCCAGGAACATCCCAGAGCACACTGAGGCCTCTGGTTGTAACGAAGAGAAAGAGAAGTGAACAGTCATGCACTGCTTAAGGATGGAGCTCTGAGATGAGGTTGTTAGGCCATTTCGTCGTCGCACAAACCCCACAATCACTTTCACAAGCCTAGATGGTATAGCCGCCTACCCACCGAGGCTATGTGGTACAGCCTATTGCTCCTAGGCTACAAATCTGTACAGCATGCCAGAACTGAACTGAATACTGTAGGCAATTCTAACACAATGGTATTTGTGTATATAAACATATTTAAACATAGAAAAGGTAGAGTAAAAATACAGTAGAAAGATAGTGTGTGTGCAGCATGCACACTGGTGGGCCTAGGGAGGTAGATGTGAGGACAGTGTGTGTCGGGGGGACGGAGGAAGGGGGGAAAAGAAGGAGAGAGAAGAGATCAACAGAGGCCAAGAGAGAGAAAGCTTGAGAGGAGAAATTATAAAAGGGAGAGGGAGGAGGAGAGAAAGAGGGAGGGAGGAGGAAGCAATGGGACCAGGGAGGAAAGAGCAAAAAAAGAAAGAAACCGAGGGAAGAGAAGTGAGTTCCTGTGCAGGATGGGGCAGGTTCCCAAGCTCCCCTCTCCCCCTTTGCTTCCAACTCCTGGTCCCAGCCTCTAGCAGGCATATGGCAGGGGAACAGAATGCTTAGCTTCCACCTCTATTTAAAACACCCAGAGCTCGCAGTAAATTCAACATCTTAGATGGGTCCAGTCCTTTCGTTCAACATCACAAAGCTTTTGTATCATAATCTTATAGGACAACTATCGTACATATGGTCAGCTGTCTACCAAACCATCGTTATGTCGTGCATGACTGCATTTTCCTTTACTTGTGAGATATATTATTAAATCGTATTTTAAATTCAAACAGATAAGTGTATTGCTATTGTTCCTTTAGTATTAAAAAAAATTAACTTGTCTTTCTCTGACTGGCTTATTTCACTTAGCATAATAATCTCCAGGTCCCTCCACACTGTTCCAAAGGGTAAAAGATCCTTCTTCTTTACAGCTGCATAGTACTCCATAGTGTAAATGTCCCACCGCTTTTTTATCCATTCATCTACTGATGGGCACTTGGGCTGTTTCCAGATCTTAGCTTTTGTAAATTGTGCTGCTATGAATATAGGGGTGCATGAGTTCTTTCTGACTGGTGTTTCAGGATTCTTAGGATAAATTCCTAGAAGTGGGATCACTGGGTCAAACAGCAGTTCTATATTTAATTTTTGAGGAAACTCCATACTGTTTTCCATAGTGGCTGCACCAGTCTGCAATCCCACCAGCAGTGAGTGTACTAGGGTTCCCCTTTCTCCACATCCTCGCCAGCATCTGTCATTTGTTGATTTGTCGGGAAGTGGGTGGGGAGAGATTAATCAAAGACCTTATATGCATAAATGCATAACCCATGGATACAGACAATAGTATGGGAAAGGCCTGGGGGTGGGGCAGAGGCGGGGTGGAGGGGGTCAATGGGGGAATAAAACAGGGACAACTGTAATACTTTCAACAAATTTTAAAACATTAACAATACCACATACCACAACTATTTAACCTTCTACAGTATAGTCAGAATTTTATAAAAGGAGCTCAGCCTAATGTGAGGAGAATACAGAACCACAGAATTTTACAGTATTAGAGAAAACGCACGCCTAACCCATCACTTCACAGATATAACAAAAGAGATTGAACAAGGCTAAGTGACTTGCCCAAGGTCACACAATTAAACAGTGACTACAGTTCAGACTTCCTGACTCTTATCCCTGTATTCTCTTTGGACATGTTTCAACTAGAAGTGGGGACCTTTTATTTTGAGGTAAAAATGGACAAACAAACAAAAACTCCATCACAAAACTATGGGTAGTTTTGCATGGCAAGGAGCCTAAAGGTACTTAGTAATCTGAAAAAAAAAGTTCAAAATTCTTTGATCATGTTTAGGATTCCAGAGAAAGAACTTCAAGTTTTGAATAAGCATTAAATTTTAATATAAATGTATCATTTGAGTCAAAGCCATGTTAAGTAAGATTTGTTTAGTATGTTACTGTCTTAGTTAAACCATAAAAATGTGAAAACACTGCACCTTTCTGCTGTGTTTCATTTGCAGTTCCGTCACTAAGAGGTGTGTTTTTACTTACGGCAGCTTGTTGTTGTTTCAATTTGTCTCTGTACTCCTCTAATTCTTGCAAATTAAGAACAGGAGGGAGCTTCTGAAAAACAAACCCATTAGAGAAAAGCAAAATAAATTGTTTAGTTCGATGTCATTTACCTGTACACCTCTGTCTTATGAACTATGCATACAGAACAGTGTCATATCTCATTCGCGTCCGTTCGTCCTGTCCTCCCCACCAGACTCCAGACACAAAAGCCTACACATCTTTGTTGCCCAGCACTCTGGTGCTCCTCGCCCAACCCACCATCTCCACTGCTGCCTCCAACCTCCAGGAAAGCCCCCTACCATTGGGACCCCTGACTCCTGGGTTGGGAGACAGTGCTTCCATGACCTGTGACAGGAGAACATGAGGAAGTCCCTAACCCTAATCCCCTACTCTACCAGCACAGGTACATCCCTTCTCCTCCATGACAGAATTAAAAACCTATTTCCCCTCTGAAATACTATGAGTAGTAACTTAGCACTACAGAGTGATGGTGATAGTTGTTGGGGTACATTCTAGATGATACACTGGCTTTCGAAGGATAGCATGGGAAACTAAAAGTATATACCACCGTGTAGGTGTGAAACTCCAAGTTAGACTCCAAGTCTCAGTCAACTGATTGATGAAACCTCAAAATGAGTTGAGGAATGACTTCGTATGTACTGCATAGAAAGAATGTATATGCACATTGTGTTTGGTTTTGTCTAAAACCAAATTTTACTATTCTTTTTTTTTTTTGAAGTTGCTATAAATTTAAAATGCCAATGTTGTAAAAATTATGGCATAGGGATATTTATCATGACTAAACAATTATGTAAATATATATCCATGATTAAAAGTCGTAGAGCTTTTCTAAACATATTTAGCCAATATAAAATAAAATAGAGGCAGCATACTAACATATTGTATGTCAACAGTTAAAAACTAAAAATGCAGAAATGTTTCCTGGTCCGATATTCTACACCTGCACTTAATTTTACATTTTTAAAAATAATTTCATCTTTAAACAATGCTGGCAGTTCATTTAATCACAATTTGGTCATTATAGACCAATCCTAGTATCAAAAAAATAAAACATCCCTAAAAAGCATTCAAATCTCACAAATTCAATCACTGAAAAAAACAGGCTTTAGACAGGTTTTAATGATATATATTTTTTTTACCTCCAGCTCATATTTAACAATATCAAATGAGTCTGTAGAAAAATATATTTGTTCAATGCTATTGATTAGTTCTTGTTCAGCTTGAGGGTCACTAGGCTGTTCTCGAAGTTCTCGGAATTCCTCCTTTAAGAAAAAAAAAATCACAATTACAGTACTTGCAGCTGTTATAATTCTACCTGCATGGAAATAAATAATCATCTTTCTTAATAGTCACAAATTTCCAGGGAATCATTCTGACAAAGGAGACAAACTGACAGAAAACAGGAAAGTTCATAGAAAATTAGGAAATAACCAAACACAAAAACTACTCATCTACTGAAGAAAAAACAGCCAGTTTGGTAATTCAGATTTTGTTTTCAATTCCTTGTATGTCAACTAGTAGTTGAGCGAACTCAGATGTTTAATGAAAGGAAAAAACAACCATCTAGTATCTGTCATACATATATACATATCACATATATACATGTATTCATCATTTAACAACATTCTAAAATCTGTCTCATCACAGATAAACAGGGAACAACATCTCAATCGCTTTTGGGTCACAATCAGCATTGGAACCCTGAGCAGCAGACGTTTCCTTTTGCCAAACATCTCACTGCTCAGCTAAGAAACACTGGCTCCAGAAAAGCTTCAGAAGTTTAGTTCTGAAAGTCCATGAGACTTTCTTCAAAGTGTACTAATACTGCAACTAATGATATGACTATGACCTAGTGCTCTGATAAAATGCTCTTTTCTAATAATATAGAATAGGGCTTCTATGACTTTATATAACTAAAAAGAGCTTGATAGACAAATCCCTACCCCTAATGCCAGCATCCTTAGCCTATGCAATTTCACTGCATAATTGGATAAACTTTCAGTTAACTGGGAAATTTCAGTAACCACACTAATTAATCAAGACATTTATATATATATATATATACACACACACACACACACACACACACACACACACACACACACATATATATATAACAATTTAGTCATTTGATTATACATTTAAGTACACAAAAAGAAACTAGTATTTTAAATCATTTTACAGTCATTAAAATAATACTTAACAAAAATTCTTAATGAATGTTTAATTAAATACACAAAAATTATATGGTCAATTAGAGGACATTATTTTCCAAATAGAGGTACTCTAGATTATTTTATTGCAGGGCATAGTTTTTTCAATAAAAAGAAAGCCTCACATAAAAAAAGAGCCTCATAGCTTATATATTTGTTAGGCTTTAATTTATATTTTAAATTTGTAAATTTATTAACTATAAAATTATCTCCTCTTAGTAGATCTAACCTAAAATGTTAGAGCAATAAACCTGAAACTCAAGAGGATATTATTTGTTTAAATTTAAAATTCCAGTAAATTGAAAAGAGGAGGCAAAGTAAGTTCATGACAAAGAAAATGCCTCTTCAGTACCAAAATTCAACTTATAAAATACACTAAGAAAAGGTCAAAGATACAGCCATCACCAATTCAGTATGCAATTAGATACTATGAGCACAGTAGGAAATCAGTGGGGGCTTTGTTGGGGGGTAGGGGTGTACGTTTACAACACATTAATCTGTGTAGTACCCTGGACAGTGGCGCTGAAGAATGATTTAGGTTAAACCCATACCACTTGCAGTATTCCCAGCTAGCCTATCCACAGACAATCCCTGCATCCAATGGAAATGTAAAATGACACTGAGACATGAAATGGGAAAAGATGTCAGAAATTCCTGGCAATCTCCCTCCCTAAAAGCCCACGGGTTTTTGAAATACAAACTTCAAATGCTGCAAGCCAAGGGTGGGAATAACATCCAAGTAAGAATATGGCTATGTTGCCTCCTAGAAATTCCACTGTACCATTAGCAAAAAAATGTGCTTGGTACCACTCAAAAACAAAAACAAAAACAAAAAACTGACGGTTACAAAAATTGCTCAGATTGAAAAACATCAAGTATGGAGCTAAACAAAAAACTGAAATAGACTGGAATGAATGAGCACTTTACCTTAAATGCATAAATGCCAATGATATATACCTACATGCTGAGGTTATCCATATATCACCTAAATGGCTGGACTAAAGGTAGACACTTGGGTTTTAGTTGCAACTCTGCTATTAACCTTGGGCCATTTACTTAGTTTCTCCAGGTCTAGTTTTTGTCACCTATAAAGGACACACATACACACACACGCACTCAAAATGACAGTGAAACAAATATCCAAAGCTATAAAAATGTCAAAGAGAAGACATGATTTCATTTATAAATATCTCATAAGTGTACATTTCACATATGTGATGAATCTGTAAAAAAAAAAAAAAAGTACAATCTGTGTATGTATATAAAAGGGCAAATGTCATTTCTTCCTAGAGAACTAAGCAATTAGATCACAGAGAGCAGGCAAACTCGTATAATTTCAAAGGACTGACATGTAACACTTGCCACTCTAAGTAACATGGAATAAGGAAAGGGATAAGACCCAGAAAGGCAGAAAAAGAAATGCAGCACCCAAAGGAGGATTCGGTCCAAAACAAATGCCCCCTCTATTTCCACAAAATACCCTCTCCTTTCACACAACTTAGCGGTTCCTGTGTGAAAACACATATCTGAGCTCATTCAGACTCCATTCTGTTTGGAATCCGACCGCCTATTTATCCCCCTGCGCTTGTAGGCTGTAAGGCTTTCTAACTGTTCTCCAAAGGTATCACTGTCAGTGCTGCCTGCTCGATCGGATTAACACTTGAGAACTGAGATTTCTTCTTATTACCCCATCACTACGCCCTGCAGAGCCAAGGAGTATCTACACTGTAGATAATAATCACTGATCCAACTAAAATTAATTGCACCATGAGTTATACTTTTTAAAAAGCATTATAAGAAGAAAAGAAAGGAAAAACAACATATTCTTGTTTTGATAGTCAAATTTTTCCACAAACTCTGAATCAAAGGTTTATTTCTTCTAACTAGAAATAACAATAAATGTTAAATGATTTTAGGGATATTTTATGCATGTAAATTAGAAAAAGAACAAAGCTTCTAGATTGCATATTCTTATCACAATTACTCCACAATTTTGCCATTATATAAACTGGTTTCCTAGGACTGGAGATGTACAAAAAAGCCTAATTCTTCACCTAAATCAAAACCAAATATATATACGTATGAGGCAAAATTTTACGTAAACAAAACAAACAAAAGATTTCCTACCAAAAAAATTAAAAGGCAAAATCAGGGGAACAGAATAACAAGTGAAACTCCTTATACCATATTGAAATATGTCACTTTTTTCAGGTACAGTAATATTAGATACTTAAGCTAAGTTGGGAATAAAATATTTCAGTCTTACAGACTGCGATTGTATTATTTCTAAAACTTTTAAAGGATTTTATTTTTATAGTAAAATTTAGTAACTAAAAAATACACATTATTAATAGTGGTAGAAAGGTTCTGTAAAATTTGAAAATTCAAAAATAATTTGTCAACAACTACAGACCATCAAATATGCCACAACTTGCCTGCCAAGGGTAATGAACTACACCTAAAATAAAGAAAAGTACACCAATGTCACTCCAGAATTAAAGCTACAGTACAACTACAATTAAAGTAATAAACTAAATTGTAAAGGAATAAAAACAAAAGTTCTTTTGGCAAAAAATAAAAATTTCTCTCCCATACAATCAGGAGGAAATAACCTGCCTACTTTCAAAGCTCTATTACCTTACCTTTCCCAGTGAAGCCATATATTTCAATTTAACATTTTTTACAATTCCCACTATATAAAAATCCTCAACACTAGGTCCTACGAAACAAAGATGAGTAAAGTACAGCCTTCCTCTCAAACAGCTGCTAAAGTAATAGGAGGGAGGTGAACAACAATGAGGCAAAGCAGAACCTAAGGGAGAAAGAGACAAAACAAGGGGCGTCAAGGGAAAGCGAGTTCATGTCTGACGGAAGAGGCGGCATTTAGAGAACATGAGAATAGTTAAAATTTCAAATTTGAGAAATTGGGGAAATATGGTTACAAATATAAAAGCACAGGATATGTAAAAACAGTGTAGTGGGAAAGCATACAGCAAGCTAAGCAACAGAGGGTGGCTTCTGCAGGGTAGAAAAATGTCATGGGGAGAGTGTGCATGTACCCCAAGAGGCAGTAAAATGCAACAATTGAGATTTTTAAAAATGCAACACATTTTTCTATATACTAGAACCATATTTTCCCTTAATAAAAATAAAATATATTCAACACTTATATCACTGTGCCAGGTGCTATATCAAAGAAGGATAAATATCCAATATTCTTTACATAATAAACCCAGCAAGATTATTTTAGGAACGTGGTAGACAACAAAGAAGTTATTCGATATTTCAGAGGCTGTCTTTTCCAGCAGTTACAATGCACTATAAGGCTGCAGACAATATTACCTAGCCTATTTTTCTATTTAGATAATCTCTGAGATAAAGACTCATGAACATACACATAAAATGCACATCTTAAATGGAACTATGAAAAATAAAGAAAACAATCAGAAATTTAAGTCAACATTCTAGCTAAGCCATTATTCCTCTCAACATAACAACAAAAGGTATTCTAAGAACTGAGAATTCAAGTCTATAAAACAAGTGGAGCCCTCAAGTGTAAGATGTTACAAAACATTTCCAGTATATTTATGGTTTCTAAGGAAGTAGGCTGTAACTTTACAAAGCAATTTCTCACTTAAGGGTTTATCTCTTAAGGGAACGTATTCAAGTTTAGGAGGGAAAAAGAAAAGACTACAAATTTTGCATTTAATCACTACTTTCAAATTATACAAAATACCACACTAATTTAAAATACCAACCCAAGTTCAGGACTTTCAATCCTATTCAATTTTATAAGTGTAAAAAGTTAGTTATAAAGAACTTAAAGATTCTCCTTACCTTATTAAAAAAAAATACTCTCTTTAATTCTGAAAAGTAATTTAACTTAATTTTAATCCCACAGAACAGCTTGGAAGCTTATAATCTTCAGCAGTAGGTTTTTATTCAAACTAAAAGATCAACGAGAAATCTTCATTTCACCTTTCGGGTTTCAAAACCCCACAGAAAATTTATGAAGTAAAATATGAAATGCAAACCAACTTCTTTCTGCC